ATCTGAGATGTACAAATGTATACGAAAATAAATATTAATTATAATGAGGATAACGAGGATGCTATGAAATGGGGGTAAGTATTTCTAACTGACGATATTTTCCACCGGCCTCGGAAAATATTTCTTTTGGCACACCGGGATCGAGGCAGGCGACAGTTGATTTACGATACACCTTGTACATGAAACAGTTCCGCGACTGTATACATATCTGTCACCGGTTATATATATGTACGTGTCTATAGCCGGTGTTCCTGTTAATTTCATTACGACGATCACCCTGACAAATCTAATTGACGTGCATCAATTATTTGCCGGACGATGGCCGCTTAACTCCCTTTCCAGTTTCCAGTTTCCAGCCGGCCGGCGAATGGTTTCCGAATAATTTCATTTTTCACGATACCTTTTATCGGATGGAATACCGACCACGGCAGAGTTATGTCGGCCATCCTTTCGAATTCCCCATAGAAACGACCCCCCGGAACGATCCGCGTAGCTACAGTTCACGCTGTAGTTATATTGTTGGCTCGGATGATTTGGTGCATGTGAATCTCAAGGTCGAACCAATAAGCATAAATTTCCGAGACTCGAAAGACTCCGTAGGGGTTGGAATATTGGGATCGATGCGGCTCCGTGAGAAAAAATCCTGTTGAGATCTAACTGGGCTCGTTTTAAACGGCAAAGCTTCTAGTTCGAGCGACGCTAATTTGTTTTTTTATTTAATAAACTCGAGCGCTAGGAAATCAACGGGAAAGTGGACAACGCCGCCGCGTTGAAAGTTGAAACGTCTTTAAAAAAGTTTCCCAAATTGAAACCGCCGTAACTTCGCCGAAAGAACTCCCACGGTGGTCCACTTGGGTTCGTTTTAAAGCTCGAAGCCTGCACTTCCATTCCCTCTATGTTACCTCCGAAAGCAGCTCTTCGTCAGCGAACCGCGCGCCAAAAAGCCGAAGGTCCTTCTCCACTCGAATTCGGCGACGTCCGCGCAGGGGTTGAAAACTTGGCGGCGCCGTAACTCCGTGAAAAAAAATCGCCGGACGACCCACCTTGGCTCGCATCGAAGCCGAGAGCCTGCGCTTCCCAGGCCCCTAATTAATTTCCCCGTGGCGCTCCGTGATCGCGAAGGAACGGTCCCGGAAGCCCGGCCGCGGCACACGCGAAACTCCCGAAAAGTATTTTCCCGAAGAATTCAGCGAGCGCCGAGACTCTGCCGGCATCGATTCGATCGAACCGATGGATCGAAG